TAGAAGCTTGACCGGTGTGTAAAAAAAAAAAAAAGTATTATTATTATTATTTTATTATTTCACCTTTATTTAACCAGGTAAGCCAGTTGAGAACAAGTTCTCATTTACAACTGGCGACCTGACCAAGATAAAGCAAAGCAGTGCGATAAAAACAACAACACAAAGTTACATACGGGGTAAAAACAAAACATAAAGTTAAAAAAAATACAACAGAAAATATATATATACAGTGTGTGCAAATGTAGCAAGTTATGGAGGTAAGGCAATTTAATAGGCCATAGTGCAAAATAATTACAATTTAGTATTAACATTGGAATGCTAGATGTGCAAGAGACGATGTGCAAATAGAGATACTGGGGTGCAAATGAGCAAAATAAATAATATGGGGATGAGGTAGTTGGGTGGGCTAATTACAGATGGGCTGTGTACAGGTGCAGTGATCGGTAAGGTGCTCTGACAACTGATTCTTAAAGTTAGTGAGGGAGATAAGAGTCTCCAGCTTCAGAGATTTTTGCAGTTCGTTCCTGTCATAATAGGATATTATAGGATCGAATATAACTTTATTGTTGTGTTGTAAAACAGACCGAAGATGTATGGAAAGAGAACAGAGCAACACCCCAAGATTAGTTAGGGGCGTGAAGTGCCTTTTTCAAGGGCACAACGGCAGTGTGCTACAATCGGTGCTGCTACAACAGGGAGAATAATTTTTGCGATAGAATTGGTAAGATGGCGGTTGCGTCAAATCAAATCAAGCTTTATTTATACAGCACATTTCAGACATGGAATGCAACACAATGTGCTTCACAGGAAAAAAATAAAAGCTGAAACACAACAAACAAGATAAAATAGTATTTTTTCAGCAGCAAGGCAGGTAAAAGCAGACATTTGTTCTGAAAACTACAGACCCTCTGTATGTAGGTATGGGTTACATACAATTTGTATTTTAGGTGAGGATTAAGAAGAAAAACAATTTAATGAGCTTTACCGAAGGACCTATTCACATGCCCACAGCACTTGGCACACGCCGCCACGAATTGCAATAGTGAGGCAGTGCTTCGTGTATGACTAGGCATTCAACCTGCAGTGTTCTGCCCGCTAGGATCAACCCACTGTTAACCCATGGCATCTTCAGTAACTACTTAGCTAGCCCATTTGGTTCCTTGGAAGTTGTGGGATCAACCCACTGTTAACTGGTTTCCCACTAGTTTCACATTGGTTGTGGGAACAAAGCCATATGTTTCCTGACTGGTAAAACAGAACGTTTTTTAAACGTTCTGAGAACAGAAGTGAAAATGTCACCTCTTCTGGAAATTTTTATTTTTAGGTTGCAGGGAGGTTCTGAGAACATTTTACTTTAGTTCCTTTAAAGTTTTCCTGGGAGGTTTTATTAACGCTCGGAGAACTAAAATTATAGGTTATTTGGAGGCTTTCAAATTACTTTCTTAAAAAATGCCACTGAATGTTTCAATAAGACTTTTAATAACACTGCTAGCTCATTTTCTGTTAACTTTTTGAACTTTTTTCCTCAGGCATTAATCATGCAAACACATTTATTTTTTATTGTGACACGGCATCAGTGAGATCCAAACCTATAATTGTATATTTTCTGTCCATGGAAATATACCACTGCGCCACCAGGATGGAGCTAGCATGCCATGTTTTTTTACGCATACAAAGCTGTTCATTTTAGTCTATTCAAACAGACCCCATTTCAAAGGAAACAAGCACTCATTAAGATCAGGTGTGGCCAAATAGTGGGCGCGGCCAACACACCTGAACACACTTAACAAGATAGAGGCTAGAGAGAGTTTTGTTCATGCTGAGAATGGAAATTCTGTTTTTAAATAACATTCTTAACAACTTTCTCTGAACGTTACGAAAGTTTTCTTGTGGTTTTTATGGAAAGTTTTCTTAACATTCTGATAACGGAATGAATGTTCTTAAATAATTAACATTACTTTAAATAGAACCATGAGGAAACATGTAGGAAACATTATGCTGAAGTACTGAAATTCCCACGGAAGAACATTGTTTCTAAACATTCTTGGAACATATGGTTCTCAGAATGTTATGTGCTAGCTGGGTAGGCCACCAAAGCAATCTGCACCACCGAGGCCCATGCAGTTTTCTTTACATCTGAGGAGACGCAGGCTAGGCTAACCTCTTTTGGGGATAGATGATGAGTTAAGTGGAATGAGCGTTTTTGAGTTTGGCATGTGTCTGTTTGCGTTACGGACAGGGATATATGTTGAGTTTTCCCTAGGGTAGGCCGATAGCTAGGGTCTGATGGGTAACTGGAGTTTGTGTGTAGGTTCCTGTGTAGAGTTGGCTGTATAGACCTGTTGCTGCGGCTTGTGTGAAGGCTCCTGTGTAGAGTTTACCCTTGTGTAGGCCGATAGCTAGGGTCTGATGGGTAGCTGTTTTTTGTCTATGGGTCTCTATGTAAAGTATTTTCTATAGACAGGCTCAGACAGGCAGGATTATCCTTCTCCACGGTCGTGTGTTCCTTGTTCCTCCTCTCCCTCTCCCTAAGCCAAAGGAAAGAAATGGGAATTGCCCAAAGGTCGGGGATCCCCGGGCCCCGGGCCCCGTAGCCCCCCATTGTTACCCAAGGGTCGGCACAGGGGGGCCACAGGGGTGACAGGGACCCCCGTACTACACTGTGCACCCCCCAAGGAGGAGGGCGCAGGAGGGGGGCAGATATCTCCCACAAATCTACAACACATATTTACAACACAGCCCGCCATCGTTACAGGTTAGTGTGGGAGTCCAGCCCACCATGGTTACAGGTTAGTGTGGGGGCCAAGCCCACCATGGTTACAGGTTAGTGTGGGGCTCAGCCCGCCATAGTTACCGGTTAGTGTGGGGCTCAGCCCGCCATAGTTACCGGTTACTCCCCAATGTCTCGGCCAGGAGGAGGCCCCTAGGCCCCTTAATCCTCAGGCCAGAGTGACCGGGGAATCTGCCCAGGGAGTATTGTTTGTGGGGAGAGGTTGAGTTTTTCAGGGAGGGATGGGTGGCTGGTGGTAGGCTACTACATAGGGATGGGGTTTTGGGCTTGAGAGAAAAAGAGAGAGCGAGAGATGGGAAGGGGGGAGAGAGAGAGAGAGATGGGAAAGGGGGAGAGCAAGGGGGAGGTTTGGGCTGGTGGTGACAAAGACAAGAGGAAGAAAGGAGCTCCACATGAAAGGATCAAAGTACCGGACTAGAGGATTAGAAACCTTTCAACAAAGAGTGTTGGAGGGAGAGAGGGAGAAAGAGAGTGTGTGTGTGTGTGGGGAGAGGTGGATACTAGCAGAAAAGAGGATGAAACTGGAGAAGAGGTGGATACTAGGAGGAGAAGAGGTGGATACTAGGAGGAGAAGAGGTGGATACTAGGAGGAGAAGAGGTGGAAACTAGGAGGAGAAGAGGTGGATACTAGGAGGAGAAGAAGTGGATACTAGGAAGAGAAGAGGCGGATACTAGGAAGAGAAGAGGCGGATACTAGGAGAAGAAGAGAGGGATGAAACTGGAGAAGAGGTGGATACTAGGAGGAGAAGAGGTGGATACTAGGAGGAGAAAAGAGGGATGAAACTGGAGAAGGGGTGGATACTAGGAGGAGAAGAGGTGGATACTAGGAGGAGAAGAGGTGGATACTAGGAGGATAAGAGGTGGATACTAGGAGGAGAAGAGGTGGATACTAGGAAGAGAAGAGGTGGATACTAGGAGGAAAAGAGCGGGATGAAACTGGAGAAGAGGTGGATACTAGGATGAGAAGAGGTGGATACTAGGAGGACAAGAGGTGGATACAAGGAGGAGAAGAGGTGGACACTAGGAGGAGAATAGATGGATACTAGGAGGAGAAGAGGTGGATGCTAGGAAAAAAAGAGGTGGATACTAGGAGGACAAGAGGTGGATACAAGGAGGAGAAGAGGTGGATACAAGGAGGGGAAGAGGTGGACACTAGGAGGAGAATAGATGGATACAAGGAGGAGAATATATGGACACTAGGAGGAGAATAGATGGATACTAGGAGGAGAAGAGGTGGATACTAGGAGGAGAATAGATGGATACTAGGAGGAGAAGAGGTGGATACTAGGAGGAGAAGAGGTGGATACTAGGAGGAGAATAGATGGATACTAGGAGGAGAAGAGGTGGATACTAGGAGGAGAAGAGGTGGATACTAGGAGGAGATGAGGTTGATACAAGGAGGAGAAGAGGTGGATACTAGGAGGAGAAGAGATGGATGAAACTGGAGAAGAGGTGGATACTAGGAGGAGAAGAGGTGGATATTAGGAGGAGAAGAGGTGGATACTAGGAGGAGAAGAGGTGGATATTAGGAGGAGAAGAGGGGGATACTAGGAAGAGAAGAGGTGGATACTAGGAGGAGAAGAGGTGGATATTAGGAGGAGAAGAGGTGGATACAAGGAGGAGAAGCGGTGGATACTAGGAGGAGAAGAGATGGATACTAGGAGGAGAAGATATGGATACTAGGAGGAGAAGAGGTGGATACTAGGAGGAGAAGAGGTGGATACTAGGAGGAGAAGAGGTGGAGACTAGGAGGATAAGAGGTGGAGACTAGGAGGAGAAGAGAGGGATGAAACTGGATAAGAAGTGAATCCTCAAAAGAGGGGGGAAATCTGAATTTATTGAGCGTACTAAAGATGGACTGAAGGGACAATGATTGTTATAGAAAAGAGGACGATTGGATCTTCCAGATATGAAGCACAACGATTTATCACTTGCTTACCTCATCGCTGTCTTATCACAGATCCCTTTAATGGAGTTGGAAAAATAACATCAGAACTATAGGAAGAGAGGGACTAGCTGCGTAGCGAACCAAGTTTACCACACACAATAAAGCCCTACAAAACTTCAAAGCACCTCTTAGACTTTTGTTTAGGCGTGTATAGACAAAGGAGGTAGAACTCAGAAAACACATATTTGTGAATTAACATGTATTTTGTCTTCCCTGTAACCCGCTCTCACAGCTCCATCTGCAGTACCTACAGTTCACCTGATGGGGGCCACAGCCAGCACCATGAGTCTTTCCTGGCTGCCCCCTGAGAAACCCAACGGAATCATTCTGGATTATGAGATTAAGTACCATGAGAAGGTAGGCAACAATGTAAGTCAACACTTCTTATTTCCACATTCTATTTCACAAGTCTTATTTTTGCGTAAATAATATTGCCCCATAGGAAATAATTCACCACAACAACAACAACAACAACAGTTTCTGACAAAGCCTCAATCCTGTCCCTCTTTCCTTCCGTTGGTTCTTTCTTTCTTTCTTTCTTTCTTTCTTTCTTTCTTTCTTTCTTTCTTTCTTTCTTTCTTTCTTTCTTTCTTTCTTTCTTTCTTTCTTTCTTTCTTTCTTTCTTTCTTTCTTTCTTTCTTTCTTTCTTCCTTCCTTCCAATATCCTCAGACTTTTCTTTCTGTTCACCCCCTCCCCCCCACCCCTTCATCCTTCTACGGGGGGTGGGGGGGGGGGAGAACAAAGTCTCTCAGTGTATCTCTATCTGTTAGTTGTTCTGTTGCTCTCCAGCTCCTATTGCCTCGTTCTGCCACTCTTCGTCTGTTCCGCAAGATGTTGGATGCGGCACGCGCCACAAAGCGGGTTGGGGGAAGGCGTCCGAATACAGATGATGATGATGATGATGAATGAGGGGATGTTGTTTGGTTTCTGAAGCATTTCTGAAGCATTTCTGAAGCATTTCTAAACCGTCCTCTGTGCGTTTGGTTTGGCAGGACCAGGGAGAGGCCATCGCCCACACCATGACCGCCCAAAGGAGTTCTTCCCGCATCGAGGGGCTGAAGGCCGGCATGCCATACGTGGTCCAGGTCCGGGCCCGCACGGTGGCCGGGTATGGTCGCTACAGCACCCCCGCCGACTTCAGCACCAACCTGCAAAGTATGTTTGAGTAAACTTTATTGATCCCCAGAGGGGACATTGGGCTTTGTCACCAGCATTAGATACAGTGCATTCGGAAAGTATTCAGACCCCTTGACTTTTTTCACATTTTGTTACGTTACAGCCTTATTCTAAAATTGATTAAATTAACTGTTTCCCTCATCAATCTACACACATTACCCCATAATAACAAAGCATAAACAGGTTTTTAGAAATGTTTGCAAATGTATATAAAAAATGTAAAGGCACACTTCTGTCTAAATAAGGTCCCACAGTTGACAGTGCATGTCAGAGCAAAAACCAAGCCATGAGGTCGAAGGAATTGTCCGTAGAGCTCCGAGACAGGATTGTGTCGAGGCACAGATCTGGGGAAGGGTACCAAAACATTTCTGCAGCATTGAAGGTCCCCTAGAACACAGTGGCCTCCATCATTCTTAAATGGAAGAAGTTTGGAACCACCAAGACTCTTCCTAGAGCTGGCTGCCCGGCCAAACTGAGCAATCGGGGGAGAAGGACCTTGGTCAGCGAGGTGACTAAAAACCTGATGGTCACTCTGACTGAGCTCCAGAGTTCCTCTGTGGAGATGGGAGAACAACCATCTCTGCAGCACTCCACCAAACAGGCCTTCATGGTAGAGTGGCCAGATGGAAGCCACTCCTCAGTAAAAGGCACATGACAGCCCTCTTGGAGTTTGCCAAAAGGCACCTAAAGGACTCTCAGACCATGAGAAACAAGATTCTCTGGTCTGATAAAACCAAGATTGAACTCTTTGGCCTGAATTCCAAGCGTCACGTCTGGAGGAAACATGGCACCATCCCTACGGTGAAGCATGGTGGTGACAGCATAATGCTGTGGGGATGTGTTTCAGCGGCAGGGACTGGGAGACTAGTCAGGATCAAGGGAAAGATGAACTGGGCAAAGTGCAGAGAGATCCTTGATGAAAACCTGCTCCAGAGTGCTCAGGACCTCAGACTGTGGCGAAGGTTCACCTTCCAACAGGACAACGACCCTAAATACACATCCAAGACAATGCAGGAGTGGCTTCGGGACAAGTCTCTGAATGTCCTTGAGTGGCCCAGCCAGAGCCTGGAATTGAACCCGATCGAACATCTCTGGAGATACCTGATAATAGCTGTGCAGCGACGCTCCCCATCCAACCTGACAGAGCTTCAGAGGATCTGCAGAGAATGGGAGAAACTCCCCAAATACATGTGTGCCAAGATTGTAGCGTCATACCCAAGAAGACTCGAGGCTGTAATCGCTGCCAAAGGTGCTTCAACAAAGTACTGAGTAAAGGGTCTGAATACTTATGTAAATGTGATATTTCCGTTTATTATTTGTAATAAATGTGCAAAAGGATTCTAAAAACGTGTTTTTGCTTTGTCATTATGGGGTATTGTGTGTAGATTGATGAGGGAAAAAATTATTTTACCCTTTTTATAATAAGGCTGTAGCGTAACAAAACGTGGAAAAAATCAAGGTGTCTGAACACTTTCCGAATGCACTGCACATACAGGGACGGAATAGACGCGTGCTGTACATCAGTAACACATCTCTTGCGGTTCTGATGATGACTCACAACTCGGTTGGTGCGCTGTGCTTGCCACACTAGGTTGTGGGTTTACTTTGTGCAAAGGCAAAATATAGCCTATTGGGTAAGTGTTCATTGTAAATCACTTTGGATTAAAGGTGTTTACTAACTGACCAATGGTACCTCACTATCTACCTCCTCTTCCTAATCCTGTTTATTGATTTATTATTATTATTATTATTATTATTATTATTATTATTATTATTATTATTATTATTTATTATTGACATAATAAACCTTTGGTGCCTGTCTGCCTGATCATTTATGAAGCTACACTATATATACAAAGTATGTGGACACCCATTCAAATGAGTGGATTTGGCTATTTCAGTCACAGCCGTTGCTGACAGGTGTATAATATTGAGCACACAGCCATTCGATCTCCATAGATAAAACACTGGCAGTAGAATGGCCTTACTGAAGAGCTCAGTGACTTTCAACGTGGCACCGTCATAAGTCAGTTTGTCAAATGTATGCCCTGCTAGAGCTGCCCCGGTCAACTGTAAGTGTTGTTATTGTGAAGTGGAAATGTCTAGGAGCAACAATGGCTCAGCAGCGAAGTGGTAGGCCACACAAGCTCACAGAACAGGATCGGTGAGTGATGAATCACGTAGCGTGTAAAAATCGTCTGTCCTCGGTTGCAACACTTACTACCGAGTTCCAAACTGCCTCGGGAAGCAACGTCAGCACAATAACTGTTAGTCGGTAGCTTCATGAAATGAGTTTCCATGGCCGAGCAGCCGCACACAAGCCTAAGATCACCATGCGCAATGCCAAGCATTGGCTGGAGTGGTGTAAAGCTCGCAGCTGTTGGACTCTGGAGCAGTGGAAACGCGTTCTCTGGAGTGATGAATCACGCTTCACGATCTGGCAGTCCAATGGACTAATCTGGGTTTGGCGGATGCCAGGATAATGCTACCTGCCCCAATGCATAGTGCCAACTGTAAAGTTTGGTGGAGGAGGAATAATGGTCTGTGGCTGTTTTTCATGGTTCGGGCTAGGCCCCTTAGTTCCAGTGAAGGGAAATCTTAATGCTACAGCATACAATGACATTCTAGACGATTCTGTGCTTTCAAGTTTGTGGCAACAGTTTGGGGAAGGCCCTTTCCTGTTTCAGCATGACAATGCCCCCGTGCACAAAGCGAGGTCCATACAGAAATGTATTGTCGAGATCGGTGTGGAAGAACTTGACTGGCCTGCACAGAGCCCTGACCTCAACCCCATTGAACACCTTTGGGATGAATTGGAAAGCCAACTGTGAGCCAGGCCTAATCGCCCAACATCAGTGCCTGACCTCACTAATGCTCTTGTGGCTGAATGGAAGCAAGTCCCCGCAGCAATGTTCCAACATCTAGTGGAAAACCTTCCCAGAAGAGTGGAGGCTGTTATAGCAGCAAACGGGGGACCAAATCCATATTAATGCCCATAATTTTGGAATGAGATATTCGACGAGCAGGTGTCCACATACTTTTGGTCATGAAGTGTATCTCCCTTTATTTGACTATCTTTCCAATTTATATTAGAGCCAATTAGCCTAGAGTACTAGATTGTGAATCTAACTGTTGAAGCTGACAAAACGTACACTGGGAAACTGCCAAAATCCTTCCCATACTCTTTGATGCAAAGTGGTGAACACTGTCGTTACATAAGCATATGGTTTCTAGGAGTAAGGGTAGGAATGGTTTTCTAGAAGCGTAGGAATGGTTTCTAGGAGTAAGTGTAGGAATGGTATCTAGGAGTAAGTGTAGGTTCTTTGGGTAACCCTCTCACACCAGCCTGACCTATAACCTCTTGACCCCTAGGTGACCCCGAGAAGTCTCTTCAGGAGCAGCTGCCCCTCATCGTGGGTTCGGCCACCGCCGGTCTAGTCTTCATCATAGCTGTCGTTGTCATCGCCATCGTCTGCCTCAGGTGAGAATAATTCGATAATATCCAGTAATATTTAGTTTATCATTGAGACAACATGGAAATAGTATCTACATCTGACATTGAAGCCACGTTCATTTTCATTTCTAGGATTTACCCCCATTGATAAAAATGATCCCACAGCAGTTCACAAAGCTCATGCAATAGTACACAATGAGGGCATTCTTCAGTTTGTGTATCAATACTAGCATACTTTTAAGTGAGAAAATTGCATATTTCTCGCAATTCCTGGTGTATTTATTTACAGATTGAAACGAACTGGAAATGTCAACTTTTGAATGCGTTTACGTCCTGAAACCCACAGCAGACAGACAGGGACACTCAGGGACAGGGACACTCAGGGACAGGGACACTCAGGGACAGGGACACTCAGGGACAGGGACACTCAGGGACAGGGACACTCAGGACTGGCGTGCCACCTATGGAGATTAGCTCTATAAAGTCCAAACACATTTCCCTCCCATAAACCTCGCTAGGCAAGCCCAGCCCATTGGACACAGCATGAGCGGCAGATGCTAGGAGCTGATTGGCCTGCCCTCATGGTTGTGTCACCGCGATTGGACGCAGGCTGACCCTACTGAATCCCGTTGACTCTTATTAACTCGTAGGAACTTCAACATCCACTCAGTTCCTGTAAAAGCCTGGCTCGGCCTCACTGTGGTTGTTCAACTCTACATAGCACTACTCATCTTTTAATGGGAGTCTACATGTTGGTGAAGCGTGCGAGTTTGACACCCTTCCTTTTGGTGGCTGGTGCTCACCCATCTCTCGCGGCAGTGGTGGAAGGGTTCGGTGTGAGCCGCCCGCTCTGAGGACTGGGCCCTCGTCACGCTGAATGATCTCCTTCCTACTCTCCTCCCTCATCCCTCTCCTCCTCTCCTCCCTCTCATTTGTCTGTCTGTGTCTTGGCTTAGCTCACTAGTGTCTGTCTCTGTGTCTTGGCTTAGCTCGCTAGTGTCTCTCTCTCTGTGTCTTAGCTTAGCTCGCTAGTGTCTCTCTCTGTGTCTTAGCTTAGCTCATTAGTGTCTCTGTGTCTTGGCTTAGCTCGCTAGTGTCTCTCTCTCTGTGTCTTAGCTTAGCTCGCTAGTGTCTCTCTCTGTGTCTTAGCTTAGCTCGCTAGTGTCTCTCTCTGTGTCTTGGCTTAGCTCGCTAGTGTCTCTCTTTGTGTCTTAGCTTAGCTCGCTAGTGTCTCTCTCTGTGTCTTAGTTTAGCTCGCTAGCGTCACTCTCTGTCTTAGTTTAGCTCGCTAGTGTCTCTCCCTCGGTCTTAGCTTAGCTCACTATCATCTCTCTCTCTGTCTTAGTTTAGCTCACTAGTGTCTCTGTGTCTTAGCTTAGCTCACTATCATCTCTCTCTCTGTCTTAGCTTAGCTCACTAGCGTCTCTCTCTGTCGTAGCTTAGCTCACTAGTGTTTCTCTCTATCTTAGCTTAGCTCACTAGCGTCTCTCTCTCTGTTTTAGTTTAGCTCACTAGCGTCTCTCTCTCTGTTTTAGTTTAGCTCACTAGCGTCTCTCTCTGTTTTAGTTTAGCTCACTAGCGTCTCTCTCTCTGTTGTAGTTTAGCTCACAAGCGTCTCTCTCTCTGTTTTAGTTTAGCTCGCTAGCGTCTATCTCTCTGTTTTAGTTTAGCTCACTAGCGTCTCTCTCTCTCTGTTTTAGTTTAGCTCACTAGCTTCTCTCTCTCTGTTTTAGTTTAGCTCACTAGCATCTCTCTCTCTCTCTGTTTTAGTTTAGCTCACTAGCATCTCTCTCTCTGTTTTAGTTTAGCTCACTAGCATCTCTCTCTCTGTTTTAGTTTAGCTCACTAGCATTTCTCTCTCTGTTTTAGTTTAGCTCACTAGCGTCTCTCTCTCTGTTTTAGTTTAGCTCACTAGCATTTATCTCTCTGTTTTAGTTTAGCTCACTAGCATTTCTCTCTCTGTTTTAGTTTAGCTCACTAGCATTTATCTCTCTGTTTTAGTTTAGCTCACTAGCATTTCTCTCTCTGTTTTAGTTTAGCTCACTTGTGTCTGCCACGAGACAAGAAAAAAAGACAAGGGGAAAAAAAGGAAAACTCAGAGCCTCCTCGGCATATTCCGGAACCACATTTGAATTGGAAATGAGATGCAAATCACCGCTGGGTATTATTGCCCCGATTACTGGTTAGACAACAAAGGAACCACATTAACATGGAATTTCAACCCCCCCCCCATTAATGGACTGATACTGAAGAAAGAAGAGAAAGCAGAGGATGAGGAAAGGAAAAGTGTGTTAGTCTGAACCAGTGTGCAGGAGGATGTTTTAAGATGGGTGTTGAGGGAGACAGCTGAGGCTGCCTTTGGGGGAGACTTTGTCCTTTACTTCTCGTGTTGGGCCATTATGTTTTCTCTCAGCTGTCATTTCGTACATACAAACAGAGTCCTACTTTTTCTACTCGATATGTTGTCTTATTTTGTAGTTTTACTCAAAATGCGGTATTTGTTAGCTTCAAATATAAGGCTAAGTGAGCTTTATCCTAGTGAGATATACAGTGTAATTCTCAATTTCTACTGACACAGCTATACTGAAATCTATTTGAACTGACACAGCTGTACTGAAATCTATTTTAACTGACACAGCTATACTGAAATCTATTTTAACTGACACAGCTATATTGAAATCTATTTTTACTGACACAGCTGTACTGAAATCTATTTTAACTGACACAGCTATACTGAAATCTATTTTTACTGACACAGCTATACTGAAATCTATTTTTACTGACACAGCTATACTGAAATCTATTTTTAACTGACACAAGCTATACTGAAACCCTCTCCACACTCTCCTGTTTCATTAAAGTATTGCTGTATGCGGCACATGACCGAATTTGTGTTTTTACTCTGGTTTGCCCCACAGGAAGCAGAGGAATGGGTCTGAGTCAGAGTACACAGAGAAACTGCAGCAGTACAGTAAGTCTCTACTGCCTGTCCTACATTATAAAGCTATCCCAGGATCCACATTCTAACAGCCACCCTCTGAGCTAGACTTTGTCCCCAACATCCAACAGTATATTCATACACAACCGTGTCAACAAATGTTTACAAATAATGTGTCCAAAGTCGGTGATGTCATAACTGGCTTTGCAATAACAGGCACATATTACTCTGAATGTCAGAATTTGGTAGTGGCTGTGAATCTCATTGAAATGGTGCCTCGACTGTTAAATGTTCTATTAATCCGATCCTTATTCCACATGATGTTATGTTACAGCCTTATTCTAAAATGGATTAAATACACAATTGTTCTCATCAATCTACACACAATACCCCATAATGACAAAGTGAAAACTGGTTTTTAGAAATCTTTACAAATGTATAAATAAATAAAAACTGAAAAACCTTATTGACATAAGTATTCAGACCCATTGCTATGAGACTCGAAATTGAGCTCAGTTGCATCCTGTTTCCATTGATCATCCTTGAGATGTTTCTACAACTTGATTGGAGTCCACCTGTGGTAAATTCAATTGATTGGACATGATTTCGAAAGGCATACACCTGTCTATATAAGGTCCCATGGTTGACAGTGCATGTCAGAGCAAAAACCAAGCCATGAGGTCGATGGAATTGTCCGTAGAGACATGATTGTGTTGAGACACAGATCTGGGGAAGGGTTCCAAAAAATGTCTGCAGCATTGAAGGTCCCCTAGAACACAGTGGCCTCCATCATTTTTAAGTGGAAGACGTTGTTGTGAGTCGCTCTGGATAAGAGCGTCTGCTAAATGACGTAAATGTGCCCTTGAGCAAGGCACTTAACCCTAATTGCTCCTGTAAGTCGCTCTGGATAAGAGCGTCTGCTAAATGACTAAAATGTAAATGTAAATGTTTGGAACCACAAATACTCTTCCTAGAGCTGGCTGCTCAGCCAAACTGAGCAATCGGGGGAGAAGGGACTTGGTCAGGGAGGTGACCAAGAACCCTATGGTCACTCTGACTGAGCTCCAGAGTTCTGTGGAGATGGGAGAACCTTCCAGAAGGACAACCATCTCTGCAGCACTCCACCAATCAGGCCTTTATGGTAGAGCGGCCAGACGGAATCCACTCCTCAGTAAAAGGCACATGACAGCCCGCTTGGAGTTTGCCAAAAGACACCTAAACGACTCTCAGACCATGAGAAACAAGATTCTCTGGTCTGAAGAAACCGAGATTAAACTCTTTGGCCTGAATGCCAAGCGTCACATCTGGAGGAAACCTGGCACCATCCCTACGGTGAAGCATGGTGGTGGCAGCATCATGCTGTGGGGATGTTTTTCAGCGGCAGGAACTGGGAGACTAGTCAGGATCGAGGGAAAGATGAACGGAGCAAAATACAGAGAGATCCTTGATGAAAACCTGCTCCAGAGCGCTCAGGACCTCAGACTGGGGCAAAGGTTCACCTTCCAACAGGACAACGACCCTAAGCACACATCCAAGACAATGCAGGAGTGGCTTTGGGACAAGCCTCTGAATGTCCTTGAGTGGCCCAGCCAGAGCCCGGACTTGAACCCGATCTAACATCTCTGAGAGACCTGAAAATAGCTGTGCAGTGATTCTCCCCAACCAACTTAACAGATCTTGAGAGGATCTGCAGAGAGGAAAGGGAGAAACTCCCCAAATACAGGTTTGCCAAGCTTGTAGCGTCATACCCAAGAAGACTCGAGGCTGTAATCGCTGCCAAAGGTGCTTAAACAAAGTACTGAGTAAAGGGTCTGAATACTTACTAATAACTTGTTTTTGCTTTGTCATTATGGGGCATTGTGTGTAGATTGATGAGGGAAACAATTTTTTCAAATCCATTTTAGAATAAGGCTGTAATGTAACAAAATTTGGAAAAAGTAAAGGGGTCTGAATACTTTCCGAATTCACTGTAGATATTGTTTTCAATGATAACTGCTGCTTGACGGCCGTGATTCATGTGATTATTTCCGCTATTGAATCCCCTATAGTCACGCCGGGAATGAAGGTCTACATCGACCCCTTTACCTACGAGGACCCCAACGAGGCCGTCCGAGAGTTCGCGAAGGAGATCGACATCTCCTGCGTGAAGATCGAGGAGGTCATCGGCGCAGGTAACCAACCAAAGCTCCTGAGCTACAGGGGGAAGACTGCTAGTCACCTCCAGGCCATACCGTTAGAGGACTTCACGCCAAGCGGTACTTTCACTCAATTCATCATCCCAACCCCTGCCTCGCCTCGCACCCCCCAGCACTAGCCTCAGCCCCCCTAATCTAAAATCTGCACTTACGCCCTTGCAAAAAAATCCCCCCCCCCCTCTAATTCGCTTCACTCACAATGGTAGCCCTCCAGGTTGGCACCTAAGTGCCTGTATGATTGCTAGCTACTTTCCACACTTTTTGTCCTTTTAAACCTTTTAATTTTATTTTATTTAACCTTTAACCTTTAAGAACTGCCCATTCCTGATCCTGGAGAGGTGCTCTGTAGTAGGAAGTTATTTTGTTCCTTCAGTGTCATTAATTCAAATCACTTCCATTGATTAGCTCCCCTACTTGAATGTAACTGACTTAATCATCATCTAGGAGAGTTGATTGGCTGGGCAAGCAGCTAGAACAGCAGCCTTCCAGGGTCAGGATTGGTCATCTCTGAACCCCTCCCCCCCAGGTGTCTCAAGGGCCAATGTTAAACGGGGCCACTCTAAAATCCCTTTGACCCTTAACCTCATCACCTTGTGGTTTGTATCCGTATGTGGCCGTTCCTTCTTGTTTCCCTTGCTCCTTCCCTTCGCCCTTTTTTAATGTACTAGTTAGTAATCTTGAAATCAGAAATTATTATATATATATTATATAATGTTAGTAAATTATATAATGTTAGTAAAACTTTTGCAAAAAAGCTGCAGGACTGTTGCCAGCTCAGAGTTGAATTCTTAGCCTTGTATCTGAGCCGAATGAAGACTTGTGATGATGGGAAGTTGGATTTGAGGTGTACGTCACCTGCAGCCGAGCCCCCTCCACTCTACTACTACTACTACTACTACTACTACTACTACTACTACTACTACTACTACTACTACTACTACTACTACTACTACTACTACTACTGCTACTGCTACTACTGCTGCTGCTGCTACCACAACGAGGGCTTAACATCGACTGCTGCTACTTGAACCCGTCGCTTCCCAGCCTTCACCTTAAGTGACGAACCCCAACCCCTGTCTCCCCTCCCCTTTACCCTCCCTCCGTTCCTCCTTCCCCCCTCCATCCATCCACCACCTCTCTCTCTCTCTCTCCCTCACTTCCCTTATGTCTCTCGCTCTCACACACTCTCGCACCCGCTTGGCGTGTTAGGCCCGAGACGCAAAGCTTCCACAACCGCCAAGCTTCTCTCTCCTCCTGTCTCTTCTTCTGACCCCGCCCCCGCCCCCGATCCCTCAGAAGCCTAATCTCCCCCACCACTCCTTTACCCCCACCTATACCCCTACCCTACCCTCCCACATCCCTCACTCTCTTATCAAGCTATACCCCCCCACCCCATACTACCCATGTCCACCCATTCCTCTCTAAGCTTTTAGTTCTCCCTCAGCCATCCCTCACTCTCCCCCTCCTCACTCTTCCCCCGTTTTCTCTGCTGCTCCTAGCCACCGTACTCCACCCCGAGCCCCTAACCTCTCTCTGTGTCTCCCGCTTCCCTTCCCTGGCTCCTTGGTTCTAACCAGTAAACTGTCCCTCTCCCCTCTCTCTCCTCTCTCCTCCTCTCTCCTCCACTCTCCTCCTCTCTCCTCCACTCTCCTCCTCCTCTCTCCTCCACTCTCCTCCTATCGTCTCCTCTCTCCTCCTCCACTCTCCTCCTCTCTCCTCCACTCTTCCGATCCTTCCTCTCTTCCCCTCTTCATCTGTCCCCTGTTCATCGCTCTCACAGGGGAGTTTGGGGAGGTGTGTCGTGGGCGTCTGAAGCTGCCCGGACGACGGGAGATCATTGTGGCTATCAAGACACTCAAGGTGGGCTACACCGACAGGCAAAGGCGGGACTTCCTGAGCGAAGCGAGCATCATGGGACAGTTTGACCACCCAAACATAATCCGATTGGAGGGCGTGGTCACCAAGAGCCGACCAGTCATGATCGTCACAGAGTTTATGGAGAACGGGGCGCTGGACTCTTTCTTAAGGGTAAGAGAGCCTGTGGAACACATGCACACACACACACACACACACACAAACACACTTACAAGGATGCACGCACACACACATGCAAGCGTGCACACACACACAAATGCACGCGCGTGCATACACACACACACACACACACACACACTTACAAGGATGCACGCACACACATGCAAGCGCACACACACACACACACACACGCAAGCGTACACACACATTAAAAAACCTGCGCTCTATAAAACCGCCCAGAGAACTGCTACTCTTGAACACACTTCATAAATGTGTGTCTGTAATCGTCACATCATCTGCACCACCACCCAGCAAAAGTACCAGAGATCTTCATATTCCACAAAAAAACCAGAGCATATCTCCCTGATCTTCATATTCCACACCCTCTCCATCTCTGGAAAAGGCCCTAACCCTCGTCTGTTGCCAATATCAGACAAACGTGCCACTCCTCTCGCTGTCTCTGACATTTACAGAGGATTCACTCAGCTTTATGAATCACCGCCTCTCCCTCAAATTAAACACCGTTTGACACTGAGGAGGAGACAGAGAGAGATGGAGAGAGAAAAAGATAGAGAGGGGGGGGATACAGAGAAAAGTAGAGAGACGGTTGTTGAGTGGAGATGGAGGGAGAGAGAAGCGAAGGGATAGGTAGAGCGTTTGTGGGAGAGAGAGAGAGAGAGAGAGAGAGAAAGAGAGAGAGAGAGAGAGAGAGAGAGAGAGAGACGAGAGAAGAGAGGAGAGGAGAGAGAGAGAGGAGAGAGAGAGAGAGAGAGAGAGAGAGCGAGAGAGACAGGAGAGCGAGAGAGAGAGAAAGAGAGAGAGAGAGAGAGAGAGAGAGAGAGAGAATAAAGAGAGAGAGATAAAGAGAGAGATACAGAGAGAGATACAGAGAGAGATAAAGAGAGAGATAAAGAGAGAGATAAAGAGAGACAGAGAGCAACCAAATAGAGAGTGGTAAGGAGAGACAGACAGACAGAGAGATTTTATTAGATTTTTGATTGATTAGGATCCCCATTAGCGGATACCGGGGTCCGACACATAACGAAAAAGACATTACAGACAAAATACTTTACAATTTACATACATTTAAAAACATTAACATGTAGTGTGTGTGTGTGTGAGCATCTATCAGTTACACATACATGTCAGTACATACACACAACAAGTAGGTCACATGGGGGAGAGGCATTGTGCCGTGAGGTGTTGCTTTACTTGTTTTTTGAAACCAGGTTTGCTGTTCACTTGTGCTATATAAGATGCACTCATGGCTCTGTATAATGCTGTACGTTTCCTTGAATTTGTGGCACTGTGAAAAGACCCCTGGTGGCATGTCTGATGGGGTAAGTGTGTGTGTCAGTGCTGTGTGGAAGTTGACTATGCAAACAATTTGGAATTTCCAACACATTAATGTTTCTTATAAAAACAAGAAGTGACACAGTCAGTCTTTCCTTAACTCTTAGCCAAGAGAGACTGGCATATTAATATTAGCCCTCTGATTACAATGAAGAGCAAGACGTGCCACTCTGTTCTGGGCCAGCTGCAGCTTAACCAGGTCTTTCTTTGCAGCACTTGACCACATGACTGGACAATAATTTAGATAAGATAAAACTAGAGCCTGCAAGACTTGCTTTGTGGAGTGTGGTGTCAAAAAGAAAAGCCTATTTTTACGGACAGACCTCTCCCCATCTTCACAATCATTCAATCAATATATTTTGACCATGACAGTTTACAATCTAAGTTAACGCCAAGTCGTTTGTGATCGTCATCAGAATGTGATCGGTATTCATTTGCCTGTTGGCTTTGCTATGGGCAGTGTTGCAGGGATCACAGTGAGGGTGAAACATTGGATTTGAACATTTATTTGTAGCAGCGAGCATGACAGGAACAAGGGTGTGGTTACAAGGTCTGTAATTATGACTGTCACCGCCAAACGATTCCAAGGTATGCATGTTATTTTACCTGTGTGTGTGTGTGTGTGTGTGTGTGTGTGTGTGTGTGTGTGTGTGTGTGTGTGTGAGTGTGTGTGTGTGTGTGTGTGTGTGTGTGTGTGTGTGTGCACGCGTGCGTGCATGCATATGCGTGTGTGTACATGTGAGAGAGGAAATAGATTTTTTTTGAAAGAAAGCCCTCTGATAAAATCTAAAGCTATTGAATCCTTCTCTCTTCCCACTTTGTGAACAACCATCTTTTCCGTCAGGGTTATCCATCCAACCTGTCCTCCTCTACACAAGCAGATATTACTGAGTGCCTGAATGGGTGAGGGTATATTATTGTGTCTGAATGGGTGAGGGTATATTATTGTGTCTGAATGGGTGAGGGTATATTATTGTGTCTGAATGGGGGAGGGTATATTATTGTGTCTGAATGGGTGAGTATATATTATTGTGTCTGAATGGGGGAGGGTATGTTATTAAGTGTCTGAATGGGTGAGTATATATTATTTCTTCATAGACTTCAGTAGCTGTGGTTGCTGATGCGTATATGGTTGAATCATCAGCATACATGGACACACATGCTTTGTTTAATGCCAGTGGAAAGTAATTGGTAAAAAAATACAAAAGAGTAGAGGGCCTAGAGAACTGCGCTGTGGAACACCAGACTTTACATGTTTAACATTAGAGAAGCTTTTGGAACTTTGGCTTTCCTGTATATAGCCACTTTATTGTGATCACTGCATCCAATGGGTACGGATACAGCTTTAGAACAAAGGTCTACAGTATTAGTAAAAATGTGATCAATACATGTGGATTATCTTGTTCCTGTAGTGTTCGTAAACACCCCGGTAGGTTGATTAATAACCTGAACCAGATTACAGGCACTGGTTACAGTGAGAAGCTTCCTATAGCAACACCCTAAAAGAAAAGGCTTTAGATGTGCCAGGTGAACCGGCAACCACAACATTTCAATAACACTTGACATAAGATCTTCTCTAAGCATTACATGGCTCTGAATATATACAGCGACACCTCCCTCATAAGCATTCCTGTCTCTTCTATAGATGTTATATCCTTGTATTGCTACTGCTGTATCATCAAATTAATTATCTAAGTGAGTCTCAGAAATGGCTAATATATGAATGTTATCTGATGTTAGCAAGTTATTGATTTCATGAACATAATTTCTAAGGGGACATATATTAATATGGGGTATTTTCAGCCCTTTCCTGGGGAGCTTATCCGAGTTATACAAAACAATGGAAAAGAGCAAACAAAGCAAGAGAAAAATATATACATTCAGCAGTCCATTAATTAGTTGGTGTGTGTAAGTGTGAGTGTGTGTGTGTGTGTGTGCTGCAGGGTTGAAGCTACGAACCCATAGGCTTGGCTCTCTCATCCCTTCCAGGATTTTGGTAGGGAGGGTGGACAATGAGCCTGTCATAGCAGATGTAAGCAATGTCCTCACGCGCTCTGGCAGCTTTCATGGCTGGGATGTTCTTTCCTCTTCTGGCGCACAGCTTCAGGATAGTTCTTGTTGAGGAAAATATACGTTCCTCTCAAGTCCTTGGCTCTTTCCAGAACGGCTACCTTGTCCTTGAACCTCAGGAACTTGACCACTATTGGCCTGGGCCGGTCCCCTGGGCCGGTGGTGGATTTTCCAGTTCTGTGGGCGCGCTCCACCTCAATCGTCCTGTGGTCCATCTTCAGTTTCTCCGAGATAATTTCCCTCACTTTGTCCTTAGACTCACTGGTCATCCCCAAAGCCAACACCTCCTTTGGCCGCCATTCCTTCCAGTTCCTGCTGCCAATGACTGGAATGAACTGCTAAAATCTTTGAAGCTGGAGACTCTTATCTCCCTCACTAACTTTAAGCATCAGTTGTCAGAGCAGCTTACCGATCACTGCACCTGTACACAGCCCATCTGTAATTAGCCCACCCAACTACCTCATCCCCATATTGTTATTTATTTATTTTGCTCATTTGCACCCCAGTATCTCTATTTGCACATCATCTTCTGCACATCTATCACTCCAGTGTTAATACTAAATTGTAATTATTTTGCACTATGGCCTATTTATTTCCTAACCTCCATAACTTACTACATTTGCACACACTGTATATAGATTTTCTATTGTGTTATTGACTGTACGTTTTGTTTATTCCATATGTAACTCTGTGTTGTTGTTGTTTTTATCGCACTGCTTTGCTTTATCTTGGCCAGGTCGCAGTTGTAAATGAGAACTTGTTCTCAACTGGCTTACCTGGTTAAATAAAGGTTAAATAAAATAAATAAATAAAAAATAATTGCAGAATCTCATGTAGATATTCTGCAATTCCTATTGTCTTGTTGTTGTAACAACTGCTTGTAGAACTATTTGTGTTTGTTTAATTGATGCTTCACCTGTGATAGACACCACTGTTCTCAACGGTACTCCCACCGGCTTTGGTCTTTGTCATGGTAGCAATGTAGGTTACACTGTTACTCCTCTCACTTCCAGACAGGACAGGTCACAGGGAAGATTAAAAACAACAACAACAACAACAAACAGCAGGGATCTAGACAGCCACAAGCCCGGGACAATCCGCGATCCCAGCCACAATGGCTAACCGCGTCGCGGGCTGCGTTCAAGAAAACCCTGCTAGCTTTGATAGGCAGCTAGGCTAGCTGCTACGCCAAACAGCTCCTCAGACCTGGCCTTGTTTGGCAGGATCACTGGACATACAGTAGCGGTCACAGCAACTGATGCCAACCGCGTCACGGGATCCAAGCTCAACAGTTAACTAGCTAGGAACCAACATTTTTCAATAGACTTTCAAAACTTTCCAAAACAACAAACCGAGCTGTCCCTCGTACCTGCGTTCAAAAGGAAGTGACGATGTGTGTGTATGTGTGAGAATAATAGGAGCATGTTAAATAATGTTTTTTATATGATATCCCTTTCTATTTCTCTGTCTGCCTCTGCCAGCTCAATGACGGGCAGTTCACAGTGATCCAGCTGGTGGGCATGCTGCGTGGCATCGCCGCGGGCATGAAGTATCTCTCTGACATGAACTACGTTCACCGGGACTTGGCAGCTCGCAACATTCTGGTCAACAGCAACCTGGTGTGTAAGGTGTCCGACTTCGGCCTGTCGCGTTTCCTTGAAGACGACGCCACGGACCCCACCTATACCAGCTCACTGGTGAGTGTCTAGGACTGAGGGAGTCTGGTGAGTGTCTAAGACACTGAGGGAGTCTGGTGAGTGTCTAGGATACTGAGGGAGTCTGGTGAGTGTCTAGGACACTGAGGGAGTCTGGTGAGTGTCTAGGACACTGAGGGAGTCTGGTGAGTGTCTAGGAAACTGAGGAAGTCTGGTGAGTGTCTAGGACACTGAGGAAGTCTGGTGAGTGTCTAGGATACTGAGGGAGTCTTTGGGAGTGTCTAGGACACTGAGGGAGTCTGGTGAGTGTCTAGGAAACTGAGGAAGTCTGGTGAGTGTCTAGGAAACTGAGGAAGTCTGGTGAGTGTCTAGGACACTGAGGAAGTCTGGTGAGTGTCTAGGATACTGAGGGAGTCTTTGGGAGTGTCTAGGACACTGAGGGAGTCTGGTGAGTGTCTAGGAAACTGAGGAAGTCTGGTGAGTGTCTAGGACACTGAGGAAGTCTGGTGAGTGTCTAGGACACTGAGGGAGTCTTTGGGAGTGTCTAGGACACTGACGGAGTCTGGTGAGTGTCTAGGACACTGAGGAAGTCTGGTGAGTGTCTAGGACACTGAGGAAGTCTGGTGAGTGTCTAGGACACTGAGGGAGTCTGGTGAGTGTCTAGGACACTGAGGGAGTCTTTGGGAGTGTCTAGGACACTGACGGAGTCTGGTGAGTGTCTAGGACACTGAGGAAGTCTGGTGAGTGTCTAGGACACTGAGGGAGTCTGGTGAGTGTCTAGGAAACTGAGGAAGTCTGGTGAGTGTCTAGGACACTGAGGAAGTCTGGTGAGTGTCTAGGATACTGAGGGAGTCTTTGGGAGTGTCTAGGACACTGAGGGAGTCTGGTGAGTGTCTAGGAAACTGAGGAAGTCTGGTGAGTGTCTAGGACACTGAGGAAGTCTGGTGAGTGTCTAGGACACTGAGGAAGTCTGGTGAGTGTCTAGGACACTGAGGAAGTCTGGTGAGTGTCTAGGATACTGAGGGAGTCTTTGGGAGTGTCTAGGACACTGACGGAGTCTGGTGAGTGTCTAGGACACTGAGGAAGTCTGGTGAGTGTCTAGGACACTGAGGAAGTCTGGTGAGTGTCTAGGACACTGAGGAAGTCTGGTGAGTGTCTAGGACACTGAGGGAGTCTTTGGGAGTGTCTAGGACACTGACGGAGTCTGGTGAGTGTCTAGGACACTGAGGAAGTCTGGTGAGTGTCTAGGACACTGAGGAAGTCTGGTGAGTGTCTAGGACACTGAGGAAGTCTGGTGAGTGTCTAGGACACTGAGGGAGTCTGGTGAGTGTCTAGGATACTGAGGGAGTCTTTGGGAGTGTCTAGGACACTGAGGAAGTCTGGTGAGTGTCTAGGACACTGAGGAAGTCTGGTGAGTGTCTAGGACACTGACGGAGTCTGGTGAGTGTCTAGGAGACTGAGGGAGTCTTTGGGAGTGTCTAGGAGACTGAGGGAGTCTTTGAGAGTGTCTAGGACACTGAGGGAGTGTTTGGGAGTGTCTAGGTGACTGAGGGAGTCTTTGGGAGTGTGTTTTGGCATCTACACTACCGGTCAAAAGTTTTAGAACACCTACTCATTCAAGGGTTTTTCTTTATTTTTACTATTTTCTACATTGTAGAATAATGCCAAGAGTGTGCAAAGCTGTCATCAAGGCAAAGGGTGGCTATTTGAAGAATCTCAAATATAAAATATATTTTGATTTGTTTAACACTTTTTTGGTTACTACATGATTCCATATGTGTTATTTCATAGTTTTGATGTCTTCACTATTATTCTACAATGTAGAAAATAGTAAAAACAAAGAAAAACCCTTGAATGAGTAGGTGTTCTAAAACTTTTGACCGGTAGTGTATGTCAAGTCTTGAATGAGTGGTAATAAATAGTTTTTATTGTGTGTGTTTCAGTGTTTCGTCAGTGTGTTGTGTTCTTTTTGGTTAATTTTTTATTTTTATTCAATCACAATCTGTACAGTCAATAAGAATCACAATGCACTTGCTGTTCAGGGTTTTGTGTGTGAATGAGTGTATGTGTATGTGTGTATACCTCAGTTTTACCTGGCATCTTATCATTATCAAACATGACTCTACTGGTGTAAGTTTGTCTCACCCTCTCTTCCCTGTGTGTGTGTGTGACTCTGTGTGTGTGTGTGATCCATCCCCAGTATTTCACGCTCACCTACTCATTCGCATATCCACAGGGAGGCAAGATTCCGATTCGCTGGACGGCTCCCGAGGCCATTGCCTACAGGAAGTTCACCTCGGCCAGTGACGTGTGGAGCTACGGCATCGTTATGTGGGAAGTGATGTCGTACGGAGAGCGGCCATATTGGGACATGAGCAACCAGGACGTGAGTGAAACGACTTTGTTTTACGTTCTCCGATCCCAAAATACACTGTAACACTCTCCTGCTCTGAATCCCCCTTTCTCTCTTTCTCTCTTGCCTGGTTCCCTTTCCTTTTGCCATTCATGTTATTTCCTCCCTTTCTCCTGCCCCCTTCTCTCTTCTCTTCCCCCTCTCTTCCTCCCTTCCTCCCTTCCTCCTTCCCATCTTTCCTCCTCGTTGTCCCTCTATAATCCAACCTTCTCTTTCTCTTCCCACCTCCTATCCCTTCTCTCCCCAGTCATCACCCTATTTCTTAACCTTCCTTATCCTTTGTACGCCTCTTCATCCGAACCCATAATTCCCTAGAATATATCTGACCCAGGTCTGATTCTAACCCGCTCTTAACTCAGATCTCTCCTCTCCTCTCTTCTCCTCTCCAACCCCCCCAGGTTATAAACGCTGTGGAGCAGGACTACCGGCTGCCCCCGCCCATGGACTGCCCCACGGCACTGCACCAGCTCATGCTTGACTGCTGGGTCAAGGAAAGGAACCTCCGGCCCAAGTTCTCCCAGATCGTCGCAACGCTGGACAAGCTCATTCGCAATGCTGCCAGCCTCAAGGTGGTCACCAGCGGCACGCATTCTTCCGGGTAAGCCTATCAGCTATCGCAACCAGTCTGACACATCTCGGCCTAGTTAGCAGATACCTCAATCTGGTGCTAGTAGTGTTGCAGAACTCCCCAAATTCACAAGTTTTCCAGAATACCCAGAAGCCTAGAATATTCCATCTAGGATTTCTAGAAATTCTGAGAATTTTGGGAACGTTTTAAGAATTTTGCAACCCTATATTCTGGTGTGAAATATATTGCATGTATCCCATCTTACTTCAGTCATACCACTATGGTACTGGTTTAAAGTATGTAGCCTGTATCCCATCTTACCTCAGACATACCACTATGCCCAAAGGTTGCTAGTTCAATACCACCTAGGGGCATGCTTCAATTTGTAGGCTAGAAGAGACTTGTCCCGGGGGTGTAAAGGCTTGGATTTGTAGACTCCTCTCTTGTTTGCGTCTAACTCCTTTGTCATAGTTATTCATATACTGTATGTATGTGATAGATTACATTATAGAGAATGAGAAGTCCTATATGTATTGCTGTCTACTGCAAACACAGTGAATCCCATGGACTAGGGTTAAGTAAAAACAACAACCTGTGACCGCGATACCCTTTGTCAGCCGACGACGATAATGACCTGAGTCAGGCCGACGACGACAACACTTCACTGGACAAATATCCTTATCCAAATGGAGTTACCGGAGTGCATTGGAGTCACAGTGGCTCTGCGATGCCTACAGTACATATTATATGTTCTCAATGCAAATGCTGAATTACCGTTGCTCCATAAAGCATGCGAGGCGACCGTAGCTCCTACAAGGTAGTTCTTAGATCGACGGCTTCACAATGTCTAGATTTAGCGACATTCCTCTGTCGCATTTGTGGAAAGCGCCCGGAGGGGGAGGGGGGGTGGGGGGGGGGGGGTGACCTACCCTGCTTCAGGAGAGTGCGGGGGAGGAGGAATGGGGGATCTGGAGCTGTAGTTATGGCGATGGCCCGGGAAGATTAAGTGAGTGTAATTAGCTAGAGTAAGAGCGAGGCAAAAAAAAGACGGGAACGCTTTTAATTAGCTGCTAACAAGATTTTAAACGGCCCAGCGGATAGGTGTGCCCCCTACCGAGCCTAACGAGGGAGAAATGAGTGAGAGATGAGCTGCCGTGACATCCGATATGTAGTGGTAGCTAGGCTACGTTTGTCACTGATTGGCTGATTGTTGTTTCAGTATACACAGTACAGGTGGAGGTGTCCTCCTGTCATGCGCGAGTGTGTGTGTGTGTGTGTGTGTGTCTGTGTGTGTGTCAGTGGCGGTCGGTGCCTTTTAAGATTAGGGAGGTCAAATAGTTTTTTTTTTTTATGAGCATAGCCTTATTTCTATTATATTGGATCTCTGTCATTCATATTCCATTCACCCAGCTCCATGAGACATCGATACGTTTAGGCTACTACTACTACTAGGGTGTAATCATTAGTCCCAATAGTTGCAACTAAAACGAGAGTTTGAACAAATATCAAATTTCGTTCCATTTGCTTCCATTTAAGAAGCGTTTTTGCAGCAGAATGAATGATAGTCCCTGATAGTCCCAGTCGGTATTAGATAGAACACCGCCTGTGTGGGAAACAACCGGTGGTTACCTAGGTTACCCAATTGGCTCACAGCAACAACAAAAAAAACATTAACCTTTTTCAAACACAATTTTCTTTGTCTGCTTGTTTTAGTCAATTACAAAACTACATTTAAGAAAAGTACAACATGTCTAAAGATTACTTTTAAACATCCCTCCCTATCATGCTCACTACTTAGAAAAAACATAATATTGTTTTATAAACGTAGGGCTTCCCTCATGCCCCTTTTCATGACGCTGAGTGAGCGCTAGCTAGCTAGCTACCGGGAACATTAGGCTAGCCAAGACCAACGACACAAACAAATGGACTGTACAGCTACAAGTACAGCTACAAGTAGTGAGTGGAGTTACAAACGGACTGTAAACAAGTTTAACTGTCTTACCTTTGATTATATATTTTCCTCACTCATAGCTGCATGTAGCCTACTTGGACACCAGGTCCCCACGTTTCCCACTTTTCCACACCGAATAGCCTGAAGCCACAGGGCTCTTCTCGCAGGCTCTATTTCCCTACATGGGAGCATTGCGAACCGTAGGTCGGGATTTTTGACCTGGCTGCATGTACATTGAACAACACAGCAGTTTTTCGGCATGTTTTGTTATTTCTGTATTTATGGGCGTGGTCGAAGGGGAATTCCTTATTATTACGTGAATACCGACTGGGACTATCACCCGCAACACACACAGTTCGATTTCAGAGCAGCCATGTAAACAGCATCATCACATCTTCGCGCTCTCCTCCTCTCATATTTTCCCTTCGCTTGTGGACTTCAGTGCACAACCCAACAGCTGTCTGCGAACAGCCGAAAATACCTCTCCAAGCCAAACCTTCATATCATAACCGCTAACCGCTACACACAGCCTACATCGTTGTCACCATATTAGCTAACGCCATAGTCAACACAGCTACTAGAGCTGACGCGTTAGTAAACCCACAACCCAATCCATGTGTACAATCACGCAGTACAGTGTACAGCAAGCAGTTTAGCAGTTACACCGGCGGGCCCCGGTGGCGATACATTAATTAAACCGAACGCTTACCTTGACTTGGAGTGTTGAATAGCCAGCTAGCTAACATAAATATTATTCCTCTCTGTTTGAGTCAGGTTGTTGAGTAGGATAAAATAGCTGCATTAGCTAGCACAAGTGAAAGTGAAACTGAAAGAAAAAAATACATCTCTCTCTCTCTCTCTCTCTCTCTCTCTCTCTCTCTCTCTCTCTCTCCTTCATTTCTTTAGAAATTAATTTGTCCAAAACTGTTCAATATTGTCTTTCTCTCTCTTTGAGAGTGCTAGCTAGCTGTAGCTTATGCTTTCAGTACTAGATTCATTCTCTGTACCTTTGATTGGATGGACAACATGTCAGTTCATGCTGCAAGAGCTCTGATAGGTTGGAGGACATCAGTGGAGGCTGCTGAGGGGAGGATGGCTCATAATAATGGCTGGAACAGAGCAAATGGAATGGCTTTGATGCATTTGATACCATTCCACCAATTCCCCTCCAGCTATTACCACAAGCCCGGCCTCCCCAATTAGGTGCCACCAACCTCCTGTGGAGGACATCCTCCGGAAGTCGTCATAATTACTGTGTAAGACTATGGAAGGGGTTGGGAATCATGAGCTTCCTAGGTTTTGTATTGAAGTCAATGTACTAAGAGGAGGACGGAAGCTAGCTGTCCTCCGGCTACACCATGGTGCTACCCTACAGAGGGCTGTTGAGGCTACTGTAGACCTTCATTGCAAAACAGTGTGCTTTAATCAGTTATTTGATGACGTGAATATATTTAGTATAGTTTTATCTAAAAATAATAACTTAATTTTAGATTTGTATGAAATTCACTGAGTAGGATGGTCCTCCCCTTCCTCCTCTGAGGAGCCTCCACTGGTGTGTGTGTGTGTGTGAGTTTCACAACTCACTCTGAAGACAAACAGTCTTCCAATAGGAAACAGGTAACCAACAACTGTCTTCCAATAGGAAACAGGTAACCAAAACGTTCTTCCAATAGGAAACAGTTCTGACCAAACCAAAACCTTGAGGAAACAGAAACAGTCAGAACACCGGTTGTAGAGTAGCCCCTCATAACATGAGACAAGCAGTCTTAGTGGCCTCTCCCAGTAGCAAACTACTAGCCTGATCCCAGACCGGTTTGTTCGGTCTTTCCATTGACCTTTAAGGAGTTGGCAAGACGGCACAAACAAATCTGGGACCAGGCTAGAGCGCAAGGCTTCGGAGAGTGGCTAACAATGGTCTATTAAGAGGGAACAGTGTCTGAGGGTTAATGGCAGCTAGCCCTCTGGGCCCTGAAGCACAGGCCTTATTAAAGTTCACTCCTCCATCTGCAGCACCCTCTGTATCTCTTATTAACTTGCTCCCTCTCTTTTTTTTCACCCCCTTGAATTGTTTATGAATCTAATGCCATCGAGAGAGAGAGAGAGAGAGAGAGAGAGAGAGAGAGAGAGAGAGAGAGAGAGAGAGAGTGATAGAGACAGAGACAGTGACAGAGAGGTCCTCTTTCTTCTCCACTGTTTCTTTCTGTCCCCCCCGCCCTTCCTTCATTCACCCTCGCGCTCCTTCTCTCTTCTCAAACTTCCACTGCTGTTTATAAAAATCACAAGGTAGCCCCCTATCTATGGCATCAATTAGGGGTGGTTGGGTTTTTTGGAGAGTTTGAGGGCCTCGTTGGGTGTTGCCAGTTGTGTACACACACACACGCACATGCACATACACACGTGTTGATATTACACAAGCATCTCCATGACGTCTGGGAGATTCTTGAGGAAATGTCTTTCCACCTCTGCCGTATTGTGTTGCTTTGGTCGTCACGCCAAAGAGAACACACACCAGGTGTGTGTTTGTGCCAACGTCTCCGAGCCTCCAAGCCAGTCTCCAACGGTAACCAACGGTGGTTACGTCGGGCAGAGGGGACAGTTGACCCTTGACCCTACGGGGGCGGCGAGGGGGGGCGAGGGGGAGAGCGAGGTGACGTTTTTTGGGGGGGGTGAGGTTTCGTTGGTGGTGGAGGCGAGGCGTGACCTTGACCCTCTCTCTCTCTCTCTTTTGTCTCCCTCTCCCCCCCCCTGCAGGGCATCGCAGCCCCTGCTGGACCGTTGTGTCCCTGACTACACTACCTTCACCACTGTGGGAGACTGGCTGGACGCAATCAAGATGAGCCGCTACGGTGACAACTTCCTCAACGCCGGATTTGCCTCCTTCGACCTCGTGGCCCAAATGACAGCAGAGTGAGTGAAGAAAGAAAGAGTCGATTCAGATGAATCAAATTCGGGTTCGGTTAAGTTGAGTTCAAATAGGGTCATTGTCATGGCTAGACAGCATAGTTATTGGTTGGGGGGGGGGGGTCTAAAAAGAGTTAAAATGTGGTTGGCTGTCTGCAGTGTGAATTAGGTCAGAGTTGGTTTCAGAGAAATTTCAAGATACACTTCGAATTGTGGCACATAATGGAGGCTGTTGTTTTCACTGTGATTTGAGTGAGAGACCATTGGGGATAAGATAACACTACTCCGGAGCTTGACCCTGAGTGGCAACACAAGTCAAGAAAAAACACAACTTCTGGAGGCTTTCCTCTTCCTGGAGAGAATTTTATGGAGCGTAGCAAGGACCAATCGTGGAGGGTTTACAATAATAGGTAATCAGGAAGGGACCAATAAAAAGGCTAACAGGAAGGGCACAATGCACACTCTTCCTCCCTAGTTCGTGTCACGACACCATCCCTTTCAGCAATAATGACATAGAGTTGACCCAGAATTGGGGTCGTGTTCATAAGGTACTGCAACGTTTTGAAACATTTCGCAAATGCAAAAATTAAAGTGAACGTTTCTCATTGTACAAGTCCTGGTAGTCCCTCCCTGTTTCAGTCTGTTTTCTTCCATTTGAAGCCTAATGAACACATCCCTGATTTCAGAGCCAGGTTGGCACGTTATTTATATAACAGGAAATGTGTGTCATAGAGGTCATGGAAATGGGGCCAGTTATGATCAAATAAAGGAATTAGGATAATAATGATTAATATATCATCCTCGTTAGGTGGATAGACGTGGAGGTGATTTGTTTCAATTTGTCAGGCTGACAGGTGTGCTGTACCCACCTCTCCTACCTTTAATGGCCAGTAATTCCTCTAATGGTGTTCATTTATCATCATTGTATCCTCCGTCGCTGGAGTGATGAGGGATGAGGGAACAGAAAAACACCATTTATTTAGGCGAAATTGCTGCCTTGGACGGTGCTCTATTTTTTAGCCCTGTGTCTGTGTGTGTGTGTGTGTGTGTGTGTGTCTGTCTGTGTGTGTGTGTGTCTGTGTGTGTGTGTCTGTGTGTGTGTGTCTGTGTGTGTGTGTGTGTGTGTGTGTGTGTCTGTGTGTGTGTGTCTGTGTGTGTGTGTCTGTGTGTGTGTGTGTGTGGTGTGTGTGTGTGTGTGTGTGTGTGTGTGTGTGTGTGTGTGTGTGTGTTGTGTGTGTGTGTGTGTGTCTGTCTGTGTGTGTGTGTGTCTGACTGTGTGTGTGTGTGTGTCTGTCTGTGTGTCTGTCTGTGTGTGTCTGTGTGTGTGTGTCTGTGTGCATGTGTGTGTGTGTGTGTGTGTGTGTGTGTGTGTGTGTGTGTGTGTGTGTGTGTGTGTGTGTGTGTGTGTGTGTGTGTGTGTGTGTGTGTGTGAGCAGAGAGTACGCAGACAGGCGCTGAGCCCTCGTGGTTTGCTAATCGTTCGCCCAGACTACACCGTGGTTTGCTCTCTCCTTCATTATCGGCATTGGGAAAACAAAGAAAATAGTGGAAAAGAGAGTCCTTGTGATATTATTCCTAACAATCCGGTACATGAGGCCTTTGAGTTAAACCAACACTGCTGAGACGAATAGATTACACTAAATGACTGACGCCAGCCAAACAGGTGCAACTTTTTTTCAGAGCAGCCATTCTAAAACCATTCTTTAATAAGGCTTCTGTGTGAGCGTCAGCATTTTCATATTTCCTCCATTGCATCTGGCATTTAGGAGTGAACTCTCCCTGTCCCCTTTTGAACTACGAAACAGACAATTATATCTTTTTCAGGGCTGACCTGTATGGTCAATAGACCAATTAGTGAAGAAAAAAAAATCTGAATTGGGCTGCCAGTCTAAATGCATCCTCAGAGAAACAGACAGTTTACAAGACTGTTAAGACAAGTCAACCTGGGTGACTGCTATTGATTAATTCATTGATTGATTGATTACAATTATGGATTGCTGACTGTTCTCTTCCAGTCTGGTCTTCAAAGACTGCTTTGCATTCTAACTAACGAATCACCATGGAATGACCAACCAGTTGACTCACTGACTGTGTAGACTAAATGAATCACCATGGAATGACCAACCAGTTGACTCACTGACTGTGTAGACTAAATGAATCACCATGGAATGACCAACCAGTTGACTCACTGACTGTGTAGACTAAATGAATCAGCATCGAATTACCAACCAGTTGACTCACTGACTGTGTAGACTAGTCTGTTATATCAATAAGTGATTGGCTACAGACTGGCTGGTTGACTTACTGACTGACTGGTTGACTCACTGACTGACTGGTTGACTCACTGACTGACTGGTTGACTCACTGACTGACTGGTTGACTCACTGACTGACTAGTTGACTCACTGACTGACTAGTTGACTCACTGACTGACTGGTTGACTCACTGACTGATTGGTTGACTCACTGACTGACTGGTTGACTCACTGACTGACTGGTTGACTCACTGACTGACTGGTTGACTCACTGACTGACAGTCTACTGCAGGAATGACTGACTGAAGGACTTCCTCACTGCTTGGTTTCTTATTAATACCTAACTTGTTTTTTTTTGTCTGCTGTCTGTCTGGCTCTCTGGCTGGCTGGCTTTCTGGCTGGCTGGATCTCTGGCTGGCTGGCTGGCTCTCTGGCTGGCTGGCTGGCTCTCTGGCTGGCTGGCTGGCTGGCTGGCTGGCTGGCTGGCCCACAGTAGTGCTGGCCCACAGTAGTAGAGATGACTGTTTAAACATTAACCTCCCCTCCCCATTACCACTGCCCCCCCTCTCGCCCACCTGCCAGGGTATTGAAGTATGTTACATCTGACCCAGGTATCAGTGTTACATCTGACCCAGGTATCAGTGCACTGAGGAGGGTCACCATTTTGTTGACATGACATCTCTCTCTTTCTCTCTCTCTCTCTCTCTCTCTCTGTCTCTCTCTCTCTCTCTCTCTCTCTCTCTCTCCTCTCTCTCTCTCTCTCTCTCTCTCTCTCTCTCTCTCTCTCTCTCTCTCTCTCTCTCTCTCTCTCTCTCTCTCTCTCTCTCATCTATCTTATCTATACTCAGAGACCTTCTTCGGATAGGAGTGACATTGGCAGGTCACCAGAAGAAGATTCTAGGCAGCATTCAGGACATGAGACTACAGATGAACCAAACACTGCCTGTCCAGGTCTGAGATGGACCAACCAGAGAGACAGACAGGAAGGAGAGGAACTGTGCCAGAGAGAGAGCCAATGGGAAACCCTAGCTGCCTGACCATCTCAGCCAATCAGATGAAGACACACCTGTCTTGCAGGGGGACTATTTGTTGTTTCTTCTTGTTATTAGTCCGACGTTTTTCAATCTGACAAGACTCAGCTGAATTATTTTGTTTAAAAAAAAAAAATGTTTCTAAAGAGAAGAAATGAACCCATATCCCACGCGTGCCTCACTTGGTCCAGTGTGGGGTGATCGTTTGCATGCGTGAGTGTGTTTTTGTGAGGATGGCTGGGACTCAACCCCTCCCACCCCTACACATCTATTTGTATCCCGAATTTGGTCTTCCTCCTGTGAAAATCCATCTCCTTGAACCTTGAACCTTAACCCCAACATCTGTCGGACAACCCCCTGACGGACACTACAGTTGGAAGTGGACAAACACTGTTTGAGTATAAAAATACAGAAAAAGGTGAACGAGCGTTCACACACAAAAAAATAAGTGTTTGGAGACAATAGATGAAATCCCTCCCATGCTACAACTTGTTTTATTGTTGGTGTGTGTGTGTGTGTGTGTTTTCCCCCCATTTGTGTGTTATTCCCCATCTTCATATTGAAGGTGTATTATTATGTACAAGGCCATTGAGAAGGACGTGTGGAGGAGGAGTGTAAAGGGTAAAGGTCGGAAGATCACCAAGGTCAAGAGGTCAAATGAGAGCAGCTGAGATGGCCATGCTAGTTTGGCCTAACCAGGTCCAAAAGTCTCCGATAGACCTCTTTCTAAGACATGGGGGAAAACGTTGTCTCATTTGCCATCAACTGTGTTTTTCCTACTATAATAATAATAATTGTTGTCTATTTGTTTTTATCAACCCTCATTTAGATTTTCTGTTGCATAATTATTGGGGTTTGTGTTTCAAGATGGCCGGTCAGAGCTAAGTACTTCCTGTTGGCTGGTCAGAGCTAAGTACTCCTGTTGGCCGGTCAGAGCTAAGTACTCCTGTTGGCTGGTCAGAGCTAAGTACTTCCTGTTGGCTGGTCAGAGCTAAGTACTTCCTGTTGGCTGGTCAGAGCTAAGTACTTCCTGTTGGCTGGTCAGAGCTAAGTACTTCCTGTTGGCTGGTCAGAGCTAAGTACTTCCTGTTGGATGCTTTCTGTGATGTCGGGGAGCTAGGCGAGGACTGTGGCAACTCACCTGACCAACCGGCCTTTTGTGTATGTGTGTGTGAATGTGAGAGTGTATCAAGTTGCACACAAATACTGTACAATACAGCTTCAGCTATATCGCCACTGTGGAGAATTAGTGCATGAACTGAACAGTGACAAGGAGCAACAATTATATCGGAAACAGTTACGCTTTATTCTGTGGACAACTGTTAAAGTTTTTTTTATTGAAATACAAACGTTTGGAAATATACACTATATGCATCCACAATAGAGCAGACACCGTAACTTTCTTTTTCTTTTTTATCTGGGTGTTAAATTAATCAAAAACTCGAGTTTAATTTCTCTACTTCAACCCACTGTATTTATTTCTCTCCCCACTTGGACAAGAGGCCATTTGAACTGTGGACTTATTCTAAAGAATGATCAAGAGGAAACAGAACATCCAAGAGGATTCAGCAAATCAATTGATGATTATAAAAAAAAAAAAATGCATATAAAATTGGATATTGTATTTTTGTTGTTGTTCTAAACAGCCTGTACATGTTTTGTAACAAAAAATAAGATAAATAACATGAAAACAAAATGGAGTTTGATAAACTGGGAAAGTGTTATTGTGAGATGTCGTTTGATTCCAAGTGAAATGAGCAGATAGAAGAGGAATAGAAAAAAAGAGAGCGTGAGGAAGGGAGAAGGAGAGAGGAGTTAGGGACAGCTACAATTAGAGAAGATTGTGCATTGGTTTGAGCATTTCAAGAGGTTGTAAACCGTGGTTACACCGTGGTTAGACCATGAGAGGTATACATGCTTCTCTAACAACCTCCCTCTCCCTTCAAGTGTATGTTTCTGTGTTGAGCGTGTGTGTTTCAGGGTCAAATTCTATAGATGGCCGCCAAGGCTGGATCTTTAGCTGTACCATCTCTCCCCTCAATCTTTCATCAAGAGGAGTATACTGTGTAGTTCTATGAAGCTGTCGGTAGTTGTCGTTCATGCACCTTTATCCAAACGAAACTTCAGGACTACCCTCAATGCACCCAACAGTCGATGGAGATTTTCAATGTGTTTGTACATCTCGTCCGTTACCGAGTTGTACCATTACCCAAGTCCTTCAAAACAGGGCCGACACCCACTCACCCTGTATAGCTCTGTGACAGAGACCATTCTTAATTCAACCAATAGGCAAAGAGATGGAGCTCCGTTAGAGAAACCATTCTTAAAAACGATAGGGCCAGAGACGAAGCTCTGTCAGGGGGTTGAGTGTGTATGCAGCTCAGCGACTGGGCCCTCGTCCACTGCTGTCAGACAAGTGGCCCCTTCAACCCGGACTCAGGGGTAGACGTAACGTGGTACACGTAAATCCAGAACAGTCCAATTAGTATGATGTTTCGTATGGTATGTGTTAATTTGTGGATGTCCCATCATCCATTTCGGTTTGATATGTTATGAATTCCTATTTGTTGTTGCTAATGTTAGCTAGGTGGCTAACACTAATGTTAGCTAGGTGGCTAACACTAAAGTTAGTTAGGTGGCTGACATTAGCTAGGCTAGGGGTTAGGGCTCAAGGTTAGGGTTAGGAGTTATGTTGAAGGGGAAGGGTTAGCTTCTTGCTAAGTAGTTGCAAAGTAGGTCAAAAGTAGTTGCAAAGTTGCTAATTAGCTAAAGTTGTCCATGATGAGATTCGAACACGCAACCTTTGGGCTGCTAGATGTTCGCGTTATACACCCACCCCAACCAGACCCTACCTTTGTTTTTGCCTTAAGTAATATTCTGTCTGATGTAACCATTCCAATCGTAACGTGATACTAATTTGAGTCTCCCGGATTTACGTCTAGTCTATGAGACCAGGCTGGCCTCTTGGACTCAGCTTGTCAGAGTGATTAAAGCAGCGGCCAATCTGCCACTCCGAGGCATACATTCACAGCACAGCGCAGACGTATGGACAGCCGGCCTATGATTATTTGTCTTTATTTAATGTCCGGGCTGCAATCATTCTGTCTGGACTCTGCCGCTCTGCCTGATTAGTACAGTGCGGGGACCAACAACCTTGGCCTGGAGACAGGCAGAAATCAGGCAGAAATCTGGAGCACTCATTGTAAGATATCATCGTTTTAGTAAGAGGGGAGTGGGGTTGAGGGATGGGATGTACCACCTGAATGGTTTTAGAAAGAGGGGAGTGGGGTTGAGGGATGGGATGGGATGTACCACCTGAACGGGGGAGGGGTGGTACTTGCAGTTCCGCAGATTCTCTTCCAGACAGTTTCTGAGCTCTGTGGGTAGGAGTTGATCAATGCAATATGTGAATAATATTAGTTCCTGTGTGTAATGGTAGTGTAATGTACAGTAGTGTCCATGCATCACGTTTTGCCGTATTAAATATTTTAGCCTTTCCTTTGAACCCTCTGAAAGCCATAAAGGATATTATGCAAAAAATATCACTATTTTGATTTCATTTAATCTACTTTTAGCATAGAGGCACAGTACAATAATAATAGTGATAACAACAACGCACTCAAAGTTCATCAGACACAACTTTCCAAACCTTAATATGTAGATGGATGCTATCAGAGCGGCGGTAGTGTATTTTGGGTTTTCAATCAATCAATCAATCAATCAAATGTATTTTATAAAGCCCTTTTTGCATCAGCAATTGTCACAACGTGCTGTACAGATACCCGGCATTTAATGTGTACATGAGCTATTTCGCCGTTTAAGCAGGAAGACATTTCCGCCTGCTTGAACGGCGAAACTTGAAAACATTCGATAGAACGATCGCTCAAAGATGCACAAATACGATATAACATTCAACATGGGTGGAATCTTTCCTTTAAGGCCAGATGTTCAAACATTCATAGATGACCAGCAGGGTCAAATAGTAACCACAGTGGTTATAGAGGGTGCAACAATAACATGAAAAGTACAAATGGCTAGTGAGTGTCCAAACATAAGTATATAGCCATTTTCCATTTTGAGTGAGGCACAACTGCTAAGTCGGATAATACATTGACTTAATAGAACTCTGCAAATAACGTTGATATCTTTTAGTTTTCCCCCAAAAATGAAAAGTCTTTCCCATACAGCCTAGAGATGCAGTAACACAGGATTATAGGATATATATCTGGGATCAAGAGAGAATTAACAGATACTGGGAATAGCAATTACATACTCGCGTACCGACATCTGAAAGCTAAATATTCCTCCTTATCACCTATCTCTCCCCACCCAATCAGCCAACCTCCGCTGTTAGTGGCAAAGAACAAGACACAGCTGATGAACATGAAACTGAAGGGGGGGGGAAGGCTGAACACAATCACGTGTTTGACATGCTGATTCATGAAAAATGGCAGCTCAGAGCTTGATTCATGAAAAAAGCTTGGTTGAATTATTCATCAGTTGCACATGCTGTGCTGGGTCTTGGGTTATGCTCCGGGAAAAAAAAAAAAGCTGGACATGAGTGATGAGCACTGATGCTGCAGCTACACATCTTAAAATGATTTAAAATGCTTTGCACATCAACAACAACAAAAAAATAATATTCAAAATGTATTTTGTACACTTTAGGGAGATGTTCCTAACAGATGTTTCATGCGTAGAACCATACGTTGTCAAACCGTGACAATTATGTATCATTCTCTTTTGTTGTTGTTGAATCAGATCTTAGTGACCAGTATTTCTGCTTTAGCGCTGACATGTGAATGGTGTGTGTGTGTGTGTGTGTGTGTGTGTGCCCTAGAATTACCATGTTCTACTGATCTAATCCAATCAGAAGAGTCTATCCATTTATTGTAGATCCAGTATTTCTCTCTGTGCCAATCGCAC